TGTATGTTTGTGCTTCTGACTCGTTTCTGTGATTGCAGCATTTTTCTGTTGCTGCATTTTTCTGTTGCATTTTTTTTATGTGTTTGTGTGCTTTTGGATTTGCATCATTCCTGTGTTTGAAGCGTTTTGCTATTTGCGACGCGTTTGCCCTTGTCGGCCACCGTAGGAACCAGTTGACTAAATGAATAGTTGGAATAAATGAAATTCACACTTATTCTAGCAATTTTTACCCTGTTTACACATCATATCTACTGTAGGATGCAAGAAATCTGAAATGAATCACTTTTACTGGGCAGTATAAATGTAGCCGAACTAACTAACAAACAAGCAAATAACTCAGATCAGACTTACTGCAATAGTGGAAAATACTACTATAATTAACCTACTTGGCAATGTAGGGGATGCTTAATTTAGTGAACACACATTTAGCAAGATTCAGATTGGGAATGGAACTCAGCAAGCAAAGGATCAATATTGCAAGTGCAGTTCAAATGTATCCACTTCTAACAGCACTGGGCATTAGCACATTACACAAATACCATCACAGTGTACTGCAAGAGATTGACTAAGGTTACAGAGGTGTCAGAAGCTCTGGGTGTTTTAAAGACACTTGGCAGTAATCTTTAGGCAATGCTAATTTGATGAAACTGTGAACAGATCCTAGCCTGTCAAATCAATCCCCAACCCCAGAGGTCAGATTTGGCAACACTGTTTACCTTTGTACAGTCAGTAGAAACAAGGTGTTCCATCAGGTCGAACAAACATGGTGAGCTCTGTGAACTTGACGTAGGAGCAGCAAGGCCGTGTTTTCAACCTCGTTCTGCTACAAGGTGGATTCACTTCATAGGCATTCTGCTTAATAAGAAGCTTATCTGTAACATGTTGCTGAACAGTGGTTTGGCTAAGGGGCACTGAAGAATACAGTACAATGGATGTGGATGTGGATGTCAATAGACAATTGACTTTCTCAACGCATAAGAGTTTGACAGCAAGTAAAACACAGTTAATAACATTAATGGTTGCTCAGTTCCATTAAGTGTTTGAGTAAGACATTCAAGTGAGCTATCATGCATGAAACAATGCCCTGGAACTGCATCACTTACATGGAATGCTGCTGTCTTTAATTAATGATATTAAAGCTTCATTAGGTAACATTTATAAAAATGTATGAAAAAGATAGTTGATTGTTGAGTCTCATTCTCAGGCCCTAAATCGTCTGTATTTGAAGACCTCAGAATGGAGCTCAACAATCAACCATCTTTCTGATTGGTTGTTTTCTTTTTTGGTTTTGGTTGGATTCTTGTAAATGCCATTAGGAGCACTAGGAGGAGCCAGAGGAACCTGATTTTTTCATAGATTATCCGTCTCACGACTACTATGTACTTTATCCTGACATATAGTGAAAGTTTCAGCAAATATGACAAAACAGTATAAAGCTCTAGCATACAGCAGCATCATTGGACACTAAGTCAGACAGCTTAGAAGATGCACTACTGTAGCCCAACATATAGCCTGAGCAGTTGTGTAAAGACTCTCTTGTTGCAAGCAGAGTGGCATTTGAGCCAACCAGAGGGAAACATGGGGACACTTGCTGTGACTTTTTGTTGAAGAATGAGAGTCTACAGCTAGACTAACATCTCTGTGAGGCTGTACTTAGGATCTCCCATAATCCGACCCTCCTCTTCCCTGGTAGCTCACCTGGTTGACCTGGCACCCCATGTACTAAGGCTGCCAGGGTTTGAGTCCAACCTGTGGCCCTTCTCTGGGGTGAATACACACCGAACACCCTTCCCAGTTCTGCCACCAGTCTTTACCTCTTCCAATGCTCCCAGGGTTACCAGCCCCCGCTCTTTAAGACCAAGTACCAGAGACTTGTTGAAGGATCGGTCCATTCTTCTCCACACTTCCGACCGCTACCATCACCGCAGCACTCCTGCTCCTCACTACACCCCTGGCCAGGGGGTCTGGCTGTCCATGCGGGACTTGCACTTCAAGGTCAAATCTAGGAAGTTCCTCAGTTTGTGGGCCTGTTTCCCAATTCCAAGGTCATCAACCCAGTCGATATCTGCCATCACCTTCCCCGGTCCATGTACTTCCATCCTACCTTCCCCATCTGGCGACTTAAGACTGACTGAGTTCCTGACCTGCCTGTTTGTACCTTTGCCTGATCTTTGGATCCTTGGATTCCCAGCCTGATACTTTTGCCTGTTCTGCCCAATTACTTTGTTTGCTTAATTGCCTTCAGTTAACTGAACTGTGATTTTACCTATATGTCTTGTTTCGTGCCTCTGGGTTCTTGCCAGCCTGATTTTGAGCCGTAAAAGTTTAGCGTGTTAGCATACTAACATTTGTTAATTTGCAGTGGTGTCGTGCAGAGTATATGCGGGTATACAGAGTATACCCACTTCTTTTTTTAGTCAACATTTCTATTCATTCAGTAGTGTTCTGCAAGCGAAGGCAGGATATAATAGTCATAATAGTCATACACCAAATTGTTGGGGAAATGAAGAGTCACCAGATCACCAAACTAAATATAATTAATCCTCTAGGAAATGGTAGTGGCCTGAATTCTATTACCGTCACTTGTGCCCCCCTGCTAGCATGACTAATTTTAAGCAGGGAAGTGTCCAGTATTTTTGGTTTATGCCACTTAAATTGATGCATTACCTATGATGCCTCATGACTAAAGTTGTCAGTTTTTCACAATAAAAAAAAAAGAAACAATCTGAAAAAATTATTTTATTCTTTCCTTATATTATTTGGTGACCCCTTCATTTGGGAACTATTGCTTTAAGGCATGGACCTGGGTAAGTAAGAACAATTTTAAAGGGCACTGTGGCACTAAAATACAATATACAAGATTTTTTCAGATATAAAAAATATATTTATTTGTCAAAGTTACTTATTGTTTAGTTAATTAGAAAAAAATGTGTCCATGTTGTAGTCTGCACCTCTTCACTTGCAACAACAAAAGTGTATGTTCTTACAATCTTCCTGCTGCTTTGCCCTTGAAAAGCAGACAGGAGTGGTTCAAACACTAATAAGGTCATTTTGTTTTTATATCTGTCATTCTTGGAAGTGATAAGCAGTAGATGACTATTGTAAACAATGTTATGTTGTTTTGTACATGTTGCACAATGTGACTAAAATCCACACAATACACAATACTAATAAAAACACTATCTGACCACTGTCAGATGTCATGAAAGGGCAACTAGAAATTAGTGAAGATAAAAATACAAGACCAAGATTTCCAGTTGACCCCACTGAAATCAGGGAATGACGTCATGGTCCAAAAAACAGTGTCTGGAATTCGGATTAATGACCAAAAATCTCCCAAATACCCACTGCTGGACAGTACATACATACTACTATACATGCATGGGTGTGGAGTTGCTATTGTCATTCATAGCTTTACAAGAAGAATCTCCTCCCAGTCTCAGAATATTAATCACTAAGCTGCCAGTATGGCACATCTCCATGCTACTACACTGTTTAGCTCTACATAGCTTAAAGCATGTATTGTGTTTTTCCAGCTCTGAGCCCTCTCAGCTCACTCTGAGGTACTCTTGTGATTTGAAAGATGGCCACTAGGTGGCACCAGTGAATTTAACTGGTAAGATGCCAACTCCAGCTCCTCTTCAGTTCACGTTAAAAGGAAAAGCAAATGTGTGACCCAGGGGTTGCCGGTTCAAATCCCAGGGTCAAATGAAACTTGATGGCATACCAGTGACGGGGGGTTACCTGAATTGTAGTTCACTGACTTGGTGGAAATGAGATTATCTGTTATTTTAAAAAGTGATCGAGGAATACAAACATTATCAAACAAACTAAATCAAACTTTTTCATCTTATGAATTTTGAAAAGGTTTTACTTCTGACAAATATAACTTTCACATTGAATGTATCCTGTCCTTACAATATAAAAATAAAGATTTTAACAGGCTTAATCAGTATCCTGACAGAATATCAGATGAAATAACAGTGGGAAGTCCTTATCCCCCACCTGCTGTTTGTAGTCCAGTGTTACTGACTGAAAACAAGTTCAATAACAATCAACAAAAACAATCCATTTGTCTGTACACAAATCCATTCACATCCGTTCCCTTATATACTCAATGTCATAGTCTTATACTTAATGTACTTTGTAGGTACCTTTCTAATGCAATAACTTAAATCTGAGTCATCCATGCAGGAAACCAAAGCAGTCTGTCGTCAGCCCAAAAGGAAATCCTGGCTAATCTCATGTCTGTATCACATTCAAACAAGAATCAAAGTACAGTGCAATGAAAACACTCGACAATACCATCACACACTTCATAAAATACAAATCTGCAGTAATATATCAAGTTAATTGGGGCGACACTCTGCTCAGGAAATTACAAAAAAATTACAATTTGGACAAAACTCAAGTCTTTGAGAGTCTTTTGTGTGCCAAGAACTTGAAGTTCCATTGCCTCCCATTATAAGATGCAATGTAGAACATGGAAAAGTCATATGACAATATAAATAAACTAATTATTGGATATCAGGGATTTTCACAACACAACAGTAATATGACTTGTTTAGAAAAGGCAACAATGAAACTAATAGCTGAGATAATAAACATTTGTCATTATTATTATTATTATTATTATCATTATTATGTATATATTATTTATTTATCTTTTGACATAACAAAAGTTTGGTTATTGGAATAGATGTATCATAAAGGGGTAAAACTTGAAACTGAATATTTAATTTGACAATTATTATTTAAAATATTTATACTGAAAATATAACACTGTATGTATTTGTCTCTTAATGTATTTGTCGTTATTAAATAATCATACAGTTGAAATATGAAGAATAATATGTATTTTATTTTGTATAATTTTATTTTGACAGCTTGAAAAAAGCTTGTTCTACATGGGATAAGAATGAACCAATAGGAGACCAGTGCGATGCCATACGTCAGACGTAGGGGGCGTTCCAGAGGCGCGTTTTCTCCTCAGTAGTAAGCAGAGTTGACTGTAGCGCTCGAGCTCCATTGAAAGTGGCTCCCCGGTTCAGAGACAGTGCTGGTGGACAAGGGGGCGGACCGGCGAGAGGAAACTTGACAGAAAACAATAGCAGTCACTCCGCTGACCTCCACAGAACTGTTGTGACTTATCACTGTTAACATTTCTGAAGACAGTGCAACTGCGCTGGCTGACAGACGCGCTAGCGGTTGTGGCGGAGGCGCGCCCAGCGAAGGAATAACGTTAGCAGGAAAACGGAGAGAAAGATTGAGGTGAAGGCACGTTCTGGGAAAGAAGAAAAGGAGGGCAGCGACAAGCGGGCGGACTCAGCTACAGGTAGCCCCGCGTTAGCTGTCGTGGCAGAAGATATCAAAGTGCAGGCGGGTCATGCGGATTTCTCCGGTCGCTGGTCGGAGCGCCGCGTCGCAGCAATAAACGGTGGGGAGAGAGAAGAAGAAGAAGAAGCAGAAAACAGAAGAACCACACCGCTTCTCTGCCGCTCTATCAGCCCGTCCAAGCGGGCTTGTTGTCACAGGGAAGGGCAGCCATGTCCCGGAGAAAGCAGAGCAAACCCCGGCAGATAAAGCGTAAGTTCATTACTGAGTGTTTTCTTGGACTGTTGTGAGTAGTAGTAGCGCGCGGTGAGCCACGCGCGCTCTGGGAAGAAGCCGCGTGTGTTGTGCGGCGCTTCAGCTGAACTGCGCGTCCACTGTAAAGTTAATAAGTAGTATGGGACCCAACTGTACCGCCTGGCTGTCTCCGTAGTTTTATGACACCGCTGTATGGGTAAATATCGCCTAATACACAACGTATACCAACGCTGAAGACTTAAAGCACAAGTTAAATAGAGTTCAGCGGCAGCTTTTTCTCAGAATAACCGAGCGGTGTAGTCCACACTTTATCTCAGACCGTTTTTCAAAAGTATTAAAGGGCCACTTTGGCAGACCCGCTATCTAGACTGTGCAAGAATATAAAAAAGTTTTCATTTATTACCCTGTAAAGAATGCTTTGTCCATTGGCAGCTGAAACTGTGGCCGTGGCTTCCTGTTTAATTCTGTTGTGGAAACGTCAGTGTTCTCTGAAAAAGCCGATGTGAACAGAGATAAAGCAGCGATCCGATGTGAGCCCAGATAAAGATTAAAATTGGATCTTTTTTATTTGTTTTCTGTCTGAGGCAGCGCCGAGGCCGCCGTTGCATTTTCCCCCTGGCTTTTCACTTCTCTTTTCCAGAGATGGGGCGTCAGATAGGCCGCCTGGCTGATCTCTCCGGCTGATAGCTGCTTACAATTGGATCTTTTTTTTCATCTATCCTTTTAACTCAATAATGCATCTTAGGTCCGTTTGAAAGGCCCTTTTTTTTCTTGGTCTGGCGCTTGGCTGGTCTCCGTGCTTGACGAGTTCTTCCTGTTTATAAAACGTGTGAGGTTTATCGCTGGTGACTGATGTTCAAAGTTGATATAAAAGCATATTAATGATGTTGCCATTAACCCCTCCTTGTGCTGTGTGAGGCCGGAGAATAGGCCTGTTGCACTCTGAGCTGACAGTCTCAGTCTGAATGTACTGTCATTGTGCTGGAGATTACAGATTAAGGAAAAAGTGTGCATGTATATGTTTGGAAGCTTCAACTGGAATGGAAACCATGAGATCAGCAGGACAGTTTCTTTGGTAAGCTATCACATTGCGCAAATAATGATATCTTGTCATCAGTGATTGTGTGTGTGTGTGTGTGTGTGTGTGTGTGTGTGTGTGTGTGTTCCCAGAAACCTTCTGTATAAAGGCAACATTTGGAAGTTTAGTCTCAGGTTACATAAATAGAGGTCTATAAGTATTAATGAGTTGACATTTCTGACCAACTCTGGTGACAGCAGGTGTATTTTCTCTGCAATGTGTGATTTTTAGAAAAATGCATACAGTGGCAGTGGTCTGCTTTTTGTTCATGGTCTAATGCAGACCTCACTTGTGAGTGTGGTGTGTGTTGTTAGGAGGTCAAATGGAGCAATAAGCATTATGTCATATCTCTTAAGGGCCACCCTCCAAACCAGAGCTGATTCTTATCGTTTTTAAAAATATAATATTTTCATATCAAAATATCAATTAGAAAAATTGGTTTCAACCATAACTCACAGTATTAACAGTGTGTTAATAGTATGGATTTGTATCCTTAGGGTTTCATTGATTTCAATATTGATACTGATACCAAAACGTATCTGCACTCATGTTGATACTACTCACCATTATGCAAAAAAATAAAGATATGAAAAGGTTCAACAGTTATTTTATTATTTCTTTTTTCTTCAGTATCATTAGTCCAGGAGCTCATTGATATTTTGGTGCCTAACCCTACTTATTAGCTGCAGGGGGTGAAAGGCTGTATTTAGATAGCTAATTAAAGTTGATTTTAAAGTTAGTCAAACTACAAAATAAAACTCTTGGTTGTTGTTGGGCTAATATGCTCTCTGTATATTTGATTATTGCTCAGCCAAAGGGTGATTTGGTTGCTGTGAAGTTGGCTGTGTCTTTCTGCTGCTAAGAAACACCAACAGAGTGGTGATTCTCGCTCTGATCCAGGTGATTGCCTTGCTTCAGTATCCAGCAGACAGCTAACTAGCAAATAGCATGGTAGCTGTTGAGTGCGACTGACTGACAGCTTTCACACACACACACACACACACACACACACGTTCAAGTCACCTGAGTGTGCACCTCCAGGATCCAGAGCGGAGAAGCGGTCTGTCCCGGCAACCTGTGGTGCTAAGATTGATGTCTGCTTAAGCAGCTAAATTGCAGATCTGCAAGAGTATCATGAACATGCTGATGTGTCAGTTTTATTTATATTGTGACCTATACACACACGGTACACTTATTACAGTAAGTGGCCATGCACTCCAGTTGTTACTAATAGGATAATGCTGTCACAATCATTAGACATTATTGAGTAACGTTAAGGGAACAGTGTGTAGGAGAAGTTGCAGATTGAACAGCCCCATCTACAACCAGTGTTTGGTTTGTCTGTTCTGGGCTACTGTAAAAACATGGTGGTTCAACATCACTCTCTCCCTTTATAGCTAAAAACGCCTCATTCTAAGGTAGAGAAATGTATATTATGTTCCATTTCTGCCAATAGATCCGACTGTTAATCAGTTGCATTAGCTAGCTAACCTGCTCTTGGTTGCTCTTTGCAGATGACGTTCAGGTGTTCATTCGACAATGTGGCTCAGAGTCGTCTCCTAATTGGAAGGTTGTTGGTTCGATCCCCGGCTCCTCCTGCCACATGTCAAAGTATCCTTGAGCAAGATACTGAACCCCCAATTGCTCCCGATGCATCGGTGTGTGAATGTATGTGAATGAGTTAGTTTCTGTTCCATGGACTTTGCCATCACTGAGTGAATGTGTGTGAAAGGGTGAATGTGGCACGTAGTGTAAAAGCGCTTTGAGTGGTCGGAAGACTAGAAAGGTGCTATACAAGTACAGGTCCATTTACCATTGTTAACTAGTTGTTGTTAGCTGCTCACTTTCTTCCATAATTTGCCCCCTGGTACCGTTGAATGCACTGACGCCATCTATCGTGATCAAGCATATCTGTTAATAAAGATTTCTCTTGATGAGCTTCTCTGGTGAGGCTCTGCAAGTAGTCCATACAGTCTGTCACTTCCTGTTTTTTCATACGTTTCCATAGAGAGGTCTATCAGCTGTGAACTCCCAGCAGGCACCTACAGTAAAGCCTGGAGATGTATTCCAGACCCTGAGGCTGATAAACCCAGACTAGACTTGGCGTGTATGAGAGAGGGAGAGCGAGAGAGTGTGTGTACATGTGTGCGTCTCGAGGGTGTCATGGCCGTCTTTATCAGTGCTTCTGGTCCACTATGCTTCCCTGTGCACCAGGCCCCGGCTGTGGTCGAGGCCAGCCAGGCTCCCAGCCCCGTGACTCTCTTGTGATTTGGCAGACATTTTGATAGGAAAGAGTGAGGAGTGATAAGGACTTTGTTTGGCTGGGGTGTGTGGGGGTTCAGCAGAGGTGGGGGCTGCTGGTGCTACCACTACCACCACTGCTATTACTACTAAAGCCGTATGTCCACCATGTTGTTTTGAGTGTGCTGCCTGCTGTTACTGATATGACAAATTCCAGCCAGGTCACAGTGTTGTTGAGTTTCATTATCACAGCAATACACCTCTAACGGCCTTTCTGAAAATGATTCACACCACTCGTTAGTATAGTTTGATGAAGTGATTGTTGTTTAGTCGTTGAATTAGTTATCCTTTTCTGATCTGCTCTTGTGCATTCGGAGCTGTAATTAAAGGACCAGTGTGTAGGATTTAATGGTATGTAGAGGTGAAGAGGGTAAGAGAAACTACGGTGGTTTGTCCATTCTGGGCTACTGTAGAAACATAATGGTTCAACATGGTGGACTCAAAACAGCTCATTCTAAGGTAAGGCAATCCCTATATTCATACACTAATGAAAACATACACCTGAATGTTATATTCCATTTCTGACAATAGATCCTAAATGTTACACATTTTTAGTGCAAATGTCCTGCAGCGTCCTCTGAGTTAAAGCCTTTCACTGGCCTCCTGGAAGGCATTTACCGTGAAGCAGGTGCAGCAGTTTTGAATAATAATAATCAGGCCGTGCCTTGTTTCCCAGTGGGTGGTAATGGTTAAAAGCACTGTCGCTCTGACCTTTTGCAGGCCTGTTGATCTACCACTAAACTAGGCAATTACTGTTCTTTTCATTAATGCAAAATGGGGGAAACTAGTGAGCTGTGCTGCATGGAAAGCCATGACATCAAACTTGTTGTGAGGGGGTGTTTTTGATTTGACACCATTGATGTGAAAAGGTAACACAACACAAGGGGTTGTGAGTAAAGCTTCAGTTATGATCCTGCAGAGATGCACATAAACGTCTTTGCAAACCTACACAGAGAAGGTTGTTGGGCTTGCAGAGGCTGTCTGAACCTGAGAGTCAAGCGAGCTGATGGGTCGAGAAAAAACCTTATACTCACAATCTGTTGAAGAATAAAAGAAACAGCTATGCAAAGTTCTTAAAACAACCACACACATTTGCTTTCACACAGCCCAGAGAAGTATGTTTCATCCTTACCACCATTCCCTTCAAACTGAAGGCACCTGTTGTTGTCACTAAGTGAGGCAGCGGAGGCCCTGTGTGTTAGCTTTACTTTGTGTTTTGTGGTTTGAATTCATTTGAACTGATTACATAGTTAGTTCTCGTTCACTTAAACTTCATCTTTTGGAAAATCGTCAGCCCTGTGATAAAGTGAAGGCTACAGGTGCTTCCTGCAATTTGGGTGAACCTGTAATCTCCAGTGCATAATCAAGGTAAACAAGTGATAAGAGCTGGGTATAACCAAAACGTGTCTGTACCACTGAGTATCACAAACTGTAAAGTGAAAGTTGGCATTGAATGTCTGGTCAGTACTGTAGTCTTTATCCTTTCTTTTCTTTTAATCCTGAACAATTTTGTCAATTTTAGACTATTTTATTTAGTACTTTTACAGTAGCAAGTATCATTTTAATATTAGTCCAAACTCATATTAGGAATTGGAATGGAGAACCGGTTCCAAATAGT